AGCTTTGAGCTAGCTGTCCAAGACCCAGAGAAAGGTCCTGTCCACAGGAGGGCTGAATGAAAGCTAGAGCCCCAGCCCTTGGATGCAGCTACTTTTGCATGCACCGTCTCTGGAAATGATGCTAATATGACAAGTCCCTCCATGTCTTGCTTATTCAGCTTGAAAATGGGCCAAACTTCATACAAAATATACTGTGAGTCTGTTCACTTTGCAGGAGAGAGTATGTGGGGTTTTTTTGTTTGTTTTTTTTTTGTCTTTTTCCACCCATTTGAAGACCCTGTCTGTAGAACTCTCAAGGCATGAATTTCACTCACTCATTCTATACCAGCTTGCTGATACTGGCCAGGTGGCTTCTCTGAATCCAGTCCCTTGCCCTCCTTACCCATGCTGACTGAGAGGAAAGATAAGACAATCTTATGTCCTTAGAAGAAGGGAGATCCGGAGCAGAAATCGCACTCTTTAGGAGAAAGGGTCAACGAATAGGAGGGAACAATTGGACTTGCATTTTAGATGTTTGGAGCTTGAAGACACTCAGAGAAAAGAAAGGGAGGGCTGGTGCTGCATTTGAAAACGCTAATGGCAAGGCAGCTCTCAGGGCTGGTGCAGGAAGCTCTCAAAGAAAAAATTCTGTGAAGATAAAATGAGATCAGCGAAAGGACCGGCCACAAAGTCAGGAGGATAGTGCACACTACCATCCATCAACTACTGCCCACCCTACCCTGCCAGATTCTGCCAACGGGCACCCACCAAATCTCCTTCCATCCTTCAGCCCACGAATCCTAATCTCGCCCGAATCCTGGGTGCCCGGCACGGTCCTGCTCCTTTCTGGGGGGCTCCTCATGGTCTGTGTGTTCCTGACTAGTGCCTGGGGGTCTCTGAACCCTCAAGCTCCCTGGTGCCTCCCTCTCCTCCCGCTTACTCAGGCCCTAACTGGCACGAGGTCCGGTTAGCCCAGGCTGGCTCTGCCCTTGCTCTCGGCACCGACATCCTACTAAGGGATCTGGCGAGCCCGCTGCTGCTCACCGCCGCCGCTGCCCGCTCACACAGCCCGCACCCCCAGGTCCGCCCCGAGCCCGGAGGTGTCTTCCGACCCCGGAGGCGCGAGGGGCGGCGTTTGCGGACCCGGGAGGGGGCGTGCCGAAGGGCGGGGGCGGGGCGCGGGACTGGGTCCTGCCCGCGCGCTGCGGCTTACCCGGGCATGAGGCTGGGGGGCACGAAGGCGGCATTGAACTCGGTCAGTAAGGTGCCGGCGCTGCGGGCAGCCATGGTGGGTGCGGTGAGCGCGCGGCTAGCCCCGGCGCTTCGGCTCGTGCCCGGCGGTAAACAGCCCGCGGGTCACCCGGCAACTGAGCGCCTGGCAACGCGAGTCTGGCCCCAGCGACCCTCGCATTCCGGGACACTGGGTCCTTCTCGCTGTTCCCTCCCTGGAGCAGCCCCCACGGGGCGCTCCCCAAAGGTGCCGCCCCGGGGCGCCCCGTCTCTATCGTGCTTTGCTCTGTCCACCCCCCACCGCCCCCAAAACCGAGCTTGCCCTCAAGCCTCAGTTTTCACATCCACGAATGGGCTCAGCTGCCAAATGGAGGTGGAAATGCAGTGGAGATGTCCCAAGTGCCCTATCACGGAGGGTCTAGCGGTGACCGGCTTGGAACGCTATGGCGGGAAGGGACAGGCGGCTCACCTGGCTTTAAAGGAGGATCAGGCCCAGGAGTCATCCCTCCCACATGCCCTAGTTCTGTGGAGGTTCTAGGAAGAGGCTCTGCAGTAGGCCCCGCTTGGCGTGTTTCCTTAGGACTCTAATTTAAGAGTGTGGAGGGGGCGTGTGCATGCCCTTTGGGCAGAGGGGCATTTTTCTCATTAATCACTCCTTTCTCCCTGGAAACTTCCTCTCCCCCTCCTTTTGTTCCTCAAGCTGCTCCACAAAAGTAGTTTTATAAGTAAGGGTCAAAAATCAAATTACAAAAATGTCTGGGTCGGTGATTTCCATTAGTCTCCAATCCACAGTTCACTGGGGCCCTGGAGTCTGCAGTGTTGGTGTTTGCCCCACAGAGCAAATCATCTGAGGATCCCTGTGAGCTTTGCTTTATCTTAAGCCTCCCTGGGCCTCCACATCTGGACTTCTCCAGGCCACCCTCTTATCAGCCCTAGGCAGTGTGCTGGGCAGGGCCAGGATCTTATGTATTGCATGAGGGTTAAGCGTATGGGGACAGCTTCCAAAGTGCCATGCTGTCTGTGATTTAGACCCAGACCCTCCCTCCCTGGCAGCAATTCTGGAATCAATTAAGAATGCCTGCAGTTTGCCTTCATTGCTCACAGTCCATCTCTTCCCCTCAGAGGTCAGATGAGAAGCATCACCTGCAGAGTTGGACTCTGTAAATGGCAGCTGGTGAAGACCACAGACACTAATGAGCTCACAGGATGCCATTGCAACCAGAATTCTCCAGAGATGCTCTCTGACAGGTGACAAGGAAACTGGAAGGAGCCACAGGCTTGCAAGAGGCACAAAAAGCAGAACTGGTGGGAGAAGGAGCCACAGGGATATGAGGGGAAGGAATGGCCACCCATCCTTCAGAATCCAGTCATATCTGTATTTTCCTGAAGTCTCCTTGGGAACATGCACTACAATAAGAAAAATATTAGGAAAAAAATGTTGAAAGACCAATCCCGGACTCAGATGTGACTACTTCAGGAAGGCTTTCCAGTGACCCCGATGGAGCTGCTCACAGCTCCCTTACCCTGTGCCCACTTGTGCATATTTTAGTCCATTCAGCTCTTCCACTTGGGGTTCAGCCCAGTATTTGGCTTGTCTCAGAAGGGTCAGCTAACTAAGCTGAGACGCTATGTGCCATTTTACAGATGCAGAAAGTGAAGTTCAGCAAAGCTCAATCAATGCCCCTTGCCCAGGACAGGTTTGTGCGCTTTTCCTAAAGAGGCACAGGGCTAAAAGAAGTCTTCTGAAATTCACCCCTTTCAGGAGAAACCTCCAAGGACCTCAGGAAGAGATGGATTCTTTTTCTATCAAGTACTGCTAAGCCTTATATACACAGATCACCTGCCCTCATGGGTGGGAAATGCTAAAGAGAAATTGGTTTTCTTTAAAAAAGACACTGAACTTACCAGGATGTTAAAATTTTAGACATTCATTTCTATTCAATAAATGCAATTTTCCAAGACAATTCCTAATTCCATATGATTAAAAATGTGTGGAAAAGATGAATATATGGGAGGAGCAGGAATTGAAGGAAAAAAGAAGAATAAGGAAAAAGAACAAATAGAAATAAGGAATAAGGACAGTGTTAAGGAAACATCTAGAAGGAGGAGAGAAGGCTCTTGTGACAGGGCACAGAGGGCCTTAGGTATTGAATAGGGGTTAAGAGTATCGAGGAAACATCCTGCAAGTTACTCAGGCTACAGAATCCAAGGGAGTACACTGTGAACGTTTAATATTTCTCTTTTTAAACCTTTAGACTTTGTTAGTAGGTCATCAAATTCACCCTTTTATCCTATCGATATTTATTGGGTATCCTACTATGTACTGAATACCCTGTGAAGCTCTCGGGTGCAAAGATGCTAGGCACCAGGGCTTCCCCCAGGTTAGGGGGGGGGGATGGGAAGAGGCACGTGGAGCAGCCTTGTATGCTGTGAGATGAGATAGGCAGGAGCCACACAGAGGAGGACCATAAGTTTGCCTGGGTGCACATGCAGAGGCACCCCCAGGAATAGGCACCTGAGGAACTGGGGCCAGGAGATTGGGTGGGGTGGGGTGGGGTGGAAGACATACCACCAAGACAGAATGACAAGAATGCCAGGCTTGGTGGCGCACACCTGTAATCCCAGCAGCTCGGGAAGCTGAGGCAGGAGGATCATGAGTTCAAAGCCAGCCTCAGCAAAAGCAAGGAGCTAAGCAACCCAGTGAAACCCTCTCTAAATAAAATACAAAATAGGGCTGGGGATGTGGCTCAGTGGTCGAGTGCCCCTGAGTTCAATTCCCAATAACCCCTGAAAAAAAGAGAGAAAATGGCAAAGCCAGGATGCAGAGACCCTGCACAGTTTCCAGGGACTGGAATCCCGGCCTCCAGGGTCACTTTCCCTACAAGCCCCTCCTGAAGGAAAAGAGGGACCATTCTCCTTTGTTCCTTGTAAATTCTGCCACAGACCTCCCTTCTCTGGCCTCTAGCAGCTGATTAGAGCAGGAAGCAGGACAGTCCTCCTCCTGTGACCACCTGTCAGCTGTCTCCCCTGCCCTAGCCTTCTTCATCCCCAGCCCTGGTTGGATGCCTGGTCTTTAAGCACCACCCTTGCAGAACAGAAGCCTCTATGGCTGTTACTGCAAGCATTTCCAGTCCCCTGCTGCCAGTCTGGTCTGCAACCCCAGCCTCTCTGCCTCCCAAGATTCAGCTCCCATGATAAGAAATCAGAACTCAGCTTCTCAGGGACATGATCTTAGGGCAGGGGGACACGTGGTCTCTTCTTCTCATAAAGCTTGTATTTCTGAGGGACCCCACTAGGTATTGCCCTAATGCTATCTGATTAATGTTAGTTTTCCATCCAGGAGGCTTTGGATTAGGATTTCTACGGCACAGTGTCATCCATCCACAGCAACCAAGCCTGGCTTGTCCAGGTTCCCTGAGCCTTGCAGGCATGAGTGACACAGGTGGTCAACTTGGTGCAGGAGGCAGAGTGAACCATCCCCCAAACTTCAGTGCAACAGCCCAGCTTCTGTGCACACAAATCACGAAGTTCCTGATCCCCACGTCCACTACCATCTACTTGCTCTTGATAGCAGAGCTTGCTCAGCCCTGCCAAGGAGCTAGTAGGAGCCTCCACTCCAATAGCTGAGAGGAGACACCTGAAGCCGGACAGGGCTTTATCTGAGAGCCAGCACTGCTGAATAATGAATTCCAATTCTGTGTGCACTCCCCGGCTGCTCACTGGGGGCACAACAGACACACACACACACACACAGTAACACAGGCTGGGCTGACAGCTCAGAGGGGCGGGGGCTGGCGAGGCTGGGAGGCTCTGTGAGTCGCTGGAAGGAGCAGCTCAGCTCGGTTGCCTTAGTCTCTGTGGGCAGCATCAGCAGGAGGAGGCAGCGGCAGCGGCAGTGGGGAGAAGAGGGAGGTGTGCAAGCCACGCTCCGCCAGCTATTCCCTCCACGCTGCTTTGCCTGCCAGTGCCCAGGCTGTCCTCGCCAGCATGGCCCTGCTCGTCCACCTCAAGACCGTCTCGGAGCTGCGGGGCAGGGGCGACCGGATTGCCAAAGTGACTTTCCGAGGTAGGGAAGCCCCTATCCCAGCTCTGCAAGCTGGCCCAGCCTGTGCTCTGGTGGCTGATTGGGTAGGGCAGGGCTAGAAGGATGGATGGCAAAGTTCTTGCAGGGACTGGCACCATGAGGCTTTTCCTTGGTAGCCATCTGTCCCTGGCCTGACCAGCCCTTGAGATTGCCTGAAAATCAGGGTGCCCTGTATTTCCACATGTATCTCTCTTTGCACCTGCCAACGTGCCAGCACCCTGGCAGGGTGCAGAGCCCTCTGCTCAGGGAGGCAGAAGCAAGGAACCTCCCACTGGGCTCAGGGACCCAGAACTGAAAGGCCCAGCCCTGCAGAGCCTTCCTGGTCCCTTCACCCCCTCTCTCAGGTTGATTTCTTTGGGTTCAATAAAGAGGTGTGGACTTGGAAGAGCAGGGTAGCTGGTAGACACTGAGGCAGCTAGGGACTCTCCAGGCCCCAGGACAATGGAGATGGTAGGGATACTGTGGCTTCTCTTAGATCTACTGTTTTCCTGGGATCCTGCAACTCTTTGGCCCGTCCTCTATCAATTATTTTCCTATCCTCCTTCAACCAATGTGTTCGGTGACCACTTATTACAATCTACCAAGGGTGAGGGCTGGAAACAGCTGAATATGACCCAGGCCTTGGCCTTAAGGAGCCCGATCTGGTGGGGCAGGGGCACCAGTGGGGAGACAATCAGGACAGTTGCGTGATAGAGAGGTTGGGGACAAAAGCAGCATGTAAACTGCAGAAGCAACACACTAATCCCAGTGGGGTGGCAGTCAGGAAAGACTTCCAGGAGGAGGCAGCACTCAGCTGGCCGGAGCCCAAGGGATCAGCAGGAGGCAGCAAGGGCAGGAGAGGGAACAGCATGCTGAAGGCTGGGGAAGAGCTGGAATGCAGGAACGGACAGAGGCTTCACAAGGCTGGAGAAGCTGTAAGAGCTGAGATCCCAGAGCCAGGCAGAGCCACGGAGGCAGGTGGGACTTCTCCAGGACACAGAATGTCAAGCAGAAACAGGCAGGCCAGGCTGCCCTCTGCCTTTTGCCCACCCACCTTGGCTCTCTGCCTGGCCACAGCCCAACTCTCTGGTCCAGGGGATCTCAATGTACTCCTCACCAGATCCAGCCCCTCCTACCCAGAGAGGGGTCTGAGAGTGGGGCAGAGATGGGGGAAGCTGAGAGAGCCACCACATTGAAGACCGAGTGAGCCTTGGGCCCAGGCTGCACGCAGTATCTGCAACTCTACCAGGAGGGACAGGAGATGTGGCAGCCCCCGCAGAATGCTCCAACAGAAGTCCTGGCCACCCCCAGCACCCCCTCACAGGCCTTGGGTTGCCCAGTTGCAGCCTGCTGTGCATAGGGTAGGGTGGGGGTGGAGGTGACAGCAGCAACTCTGTTGGCGGGAGGAGGGACAGGCAAGGCTGGAAGCCTGTTGCTTCCCAGCCCAACCCACGCCCACCTTCTCTGCAGCACCCTGCATCTCCATGGGCCACCTGCCGGCTCATACTGGCTTTAGGAGAAGCAAGTCTGCTGTTTGATTCATGAAACACGGCCCTGTGTTCCACACACGGCCCGGGGCCTGGCTGCTCAGGCCCCACGTTGCTGTCATAAGACAGTCCAGGCTGAGCAGGGTTAGTCCCATTTCAGGCAGAGAAACAAAGTATAGAGAGACCTGCTTGGGATTAGTGGGGAGGCCGAAGTGTAGGACCTCACCCAGGTTGCTCAATCCTGTAAGCTCTGTTTTTTCCCCCAGGGTCAACTGGGGTAAGCACCTGTCCATCTGAGACCCAAATTTCCCTTTGAGCACTGAGGCTGACCACCCAGGAATTAGCCTATCTGCAGCCTGGTCCCTGCAGGCGGAGTGGAGAAATCCATTTCTAGGCTCTACATTTGCAGAGCTCCTGGGGAAGGGGGCTGGGCAGGTAGCAGTATAGGCAGAAGACAAGCAGATTTCCAGAAATAATCCTTTGTTACAGAAAGGCCTCAGCCAGTCACCCTCTGCCTCCAGCAGTTGACAACGATAAGCTCCCCAAAAGGCCAACCCCAACAACAGTTCAGAGGGAGCAAACCGCTTTGAATGTGGCACAGTGCTTCATGACACGCACAACCACTGTTGTGATTTAGCAGGAAGAATCCAGAAATTTGTGATCAGTCAGAGGAGATACTGGTTCCAAGTTCCCCAGACCCCCTGAAGGAAGCCCAGTGCCAGGCTGGGTGAGGGACAGGCCCGGGACCCTGGAGCTGAAGGAGACCCTGCCCCTGTCCTAAGGAGTTACAGTCTCATTGGTCTAGACAGAGACACAGGGAAGTTAGATTCCAATCCCAGACATGCCTGCAACCACAAGGCCTGAGACTTTAGTTTGTCATTTACAAGCTGAAGATAATGGCTTCCATTTAACTCAGAGGTCTGTGGTCATGAGAAGTAAGCGGGAGTGGGCTATCCAGGAAGGAGCCATCTTGACAGCAGATGCTACTCAAAGAGAGGAAGTATTGCTGGGTGTGGTGGCACACGCTTACGATCCCAGCGACTCGGGAGGCTGAGGCAAGAGGATCCAGGGCTCAAAGCCAGCCTCAGTAACTTAGCGAGGCTCTAAGCAATTCAATGAAACTCTGTCTCTAAATAAAATACAAAAAAAGGGCTCAGGGTATGTGGCTCAGTGGTTAAGTGCCCCTGAGTTCAAACCCAGGTACCAAACAAAAATAAAAACAAAGAGAGAGAGAGAAAGGAAGTGTTCACTTCAGTCTTATTCTTTCTCAGCTATAAATTAATTTGCTGCATCAATCAGAGGGCCATGGGATGCAGGATGAGCAGGGCCTCTGAGTTCTAGCCCACCCTTGTGTCCAGTGCTCAGCCACTTGAGCCCCCGGACATGGGGACTTGGGCTGCTGGAGAACAAGAGTGAGTGACAGACTGTCTGGGGCCAGCCAGCCCTGTCATCTCCTGTCACCTTCTGTTCCTTGAGCATTCTTGCCAAAACATAAGGGTGAGGATGTTTTGGGTGAGACGGTGACAACTGAAGGCTGAACCTTAGTGCCACGCAATACACGCAATACACATGGACTGGCCACTGTCACAGATGACTGCCTGGGCAAGGCTTCTCTGGGGGTTCATCCCTGCTCCTTCTCTCCGATCCCCACCCCAAACCCCACCCCACTGCATTCCCACTACACGGCCAGTCCCCAGAGAGGCTGACCTTTTAATATTGCCACACCTTAAGACCATTTCTTCTGCCCAGAATGATCCCCACCCTCCACCTTGAGAATTTCCATTAACTCTGGGCATCCTTCAAGGCCCAGATCACATGCCACCTCCTCCAGGAAGGCTTCTGTCCCCTTGCAGCACTCTGTGCAGCCTCCTATAGCTGTATTTTAGGGACAGGCCACGCTTCTGTGTGCACTACTTCTGTGCCCCTTTGAGACAGATCAGATATCTACTGAATTCTGTGCTAAGCACCAGCTGCTCCTCAAGATGAGTAAGAAATGGCTTCTGTCTCTCAGGCCTTCTCTGTTGAATGGGTTTAAATTCTTCCACTCTGGCCCAGCTCCACAACTGTGAACTCCAACTAGAACTTTCTATCCAAGGGAGATCAAGGAACTAAAAGAGGTCCCAGGAGCTAAAAATCAAAAATTTTGGCTCATCCTCCCTCTGTTGACCTCACCAGCTCAGAGAATCTTCCAGGACCCCAGAGGGAGGCTGACCTCATCCTCTGGCAAATGTTGGGGGATCCAATTCTGGACCACAAGTAGGAAGAAAGAGGGGATGTAGTGGCCCTCCCTCTTCACAAGCACGCTGTTCCTGAAGCTTGCTGTGTTGGCATGGGGAAGAGGTGGGGACTGCACAGTCCCGCCACAGGAAACCATGCAGGGCACACAGGGGCTGAGGGGGGCTCAGGGGAGGGGTAAGGTGCAAGATGGGTTAGAACAAGGAGCTCTTGAACTGGGTCTTGAAAGACATGCCTGCTTGTCCACGTGGAGATGCAGAAAGAGAGGCAAGGAGGGGTTGACAGGAAGGCCAAGCCATCTGGGTGGGGACACCAGGACCTGCAGAGGGGTGATCCCAGCTGAGAACAATGGCTGGGAAGCCACAGCAAAGCTACTGGAAGGGGCAGCATAGGGCCAGTGGTGACTGCTGGGAAGAGACTGGGCCCTGCCCTGTACTGCTGTTGCAGGGAACATATCAGACTCCAAATTAGATTTATTTCTCCCTGTGAAATGGGGGAGTTGTCCCTCTTGATGATAAATACAATTTCTATCTGGAAACTTCTCTGCCATTCCTGGTAATGGAGGCAGAGTATCCCAGTGCCCCACCCCTGAGATGATCCTGGCTATCTGGGCCTGCATGTGGAGTGGACTCCGCCCCAGCCTAGTACCACCACCCTTGGAGAACAGGGGTGAGCATTGCCCCCGCTGAGGGCAGGAGATAGGGGGTCCCTCAGGACAGCCTCTGCAGGCGGTGGACACAGCTCTGTGCTTTCGCCATTAACACATAGGACACAGCCCTGGGCCCTCCATACTTCCCAGCGCACACAGGGCCCTTTCCCACCCCCAGGGAAGCCTTCTCTGCCTCAAGCCCCAGGTGGTGATGTTCCCTCCTCCTCCTACCCAGAGCAAGCCCAAGCCAATGCAGACTCAACTGAGACTAGGCATTGCACCCAGAAAATTCCCCAGGCTCTTCCTGCTTTGATAAGAGGAGTATATTTTCATGCTATAAAAATGATTGTAAAAATCGTCTTCTGCTGTACAGCAAGAAAGCTGCTGGAAACATCCAGAGAGAGCAGACTCGCAGATGATCTCCAGAGCAGCTGAGGCTGGGTTCTCCCGTCCGCCTTTACTACTAATAGGAAAGCTTCCTCTCTCCCACCTGCACCCATCCTGGAGTTTGAAGCTTCTTTCCTTTTGATTTTTTTTTTAATAATAAAAAGCCTTGAATATACACAAGAATAGGGGGAATAACCCATCCATTTTCAAAGACTATCAACTATGCCAAGCTTGTTTCCTTTATC